ATTGGGCTTTTTTTACGTTCTTATACTTAGAACTACTACTATACACCAGGCAGGCATTGGGATAATTCTTTATTATTTATTTTTCTTATAGGCGTAATTCGGTGTTACTAGGAGGCGGGGGGGCCAGGAAATGGATGGACCAGCTGTCCCGGGTGCAAATGGGCCCCGGGACCGGATTTGATATCACGGCTTGGCGCATTTTTGGGAAAGGGGAAGGGATGGGAAACGAGAGAATGAAAGCTCTGGGAGCAACATGCAGTGCGCAAGCTCCAGGATAGAGCAAGACTTTACGGAAGGGGGGCGGGTTTGGATTGGGGGTGTGTGGAAAAGGGCGCCCTCATGCGTCTCTTGTTCCCTAGGATCCTTTTTATTATTCATAGGTAGCTTTTATGAAAGATGTCACACATCATTTCTCAGAGAGAAAAGATAATAAAAAAATGTTATACGAACGAATCTTACCTTGTGCAGAGTGACAATGCATGCTACACTTAACCGGTCAGCCATCCCCAAAGGGCTTATTTTATCCCGCTAACGTGGGTGACATCGGAAATGGCACACTTGAGCACTCCCTTGATACATGCTTGATCTATCAACTTTTATAGCTAGCTATAGAATTACTGAAATGAGATTAAAGGAACAGAATTACCAGACTTGAATTCTTATATTGTCTAATCTCTATTTGGAATAAGCTACTTATCTAGATATTTAGATATTTATTCGGGTGTTTATTTAGTTGATTATTTGGGTCTTCATTTAGGTGTGCCGTTTCAATGTCACCCACTTGCCCGCCCTGACGATTATTGTGTGGGTGGGAGGCTCGGGTGAGGATGGGCACACGGAGGAGATAGTTCAGCTGCGGCCAGGACGCATCTAAGAGATGCAGGAGACTATTGGGAAGGGGGAAGGGGGGGGGGAGCAAGCTCCGTTCGGGGTGGGTGTGTTGAGTTCGTAGGATGTGTGTATTCTGCATGTGCAATGTGTGGGAGAGTGTGTACGCAATGCAGCCACCACTGGACAGTTGGGTTGGAAGTTCCGTGAATACGACAACGTTACTATGTAAGCAGAGCGACATCAATCATATGCTTTTTCGGGGCGATCGTGGGTGGGTGGGCTGGTTTGAGGGTGGTAATGCAACGCACACCACGCAGGGCCTACATACATACGTGCATACAGGTACGGGAAGGGGGATTGGCCCAGCCCCCATCATGGGCCGATGTCGTGCAACGCTGCACTCATTCTGGATGAAGGAGGGCTGCCGGGCTCAGACATAGGATCAGGGGCTCGTGTGTGTGTGTATGTGGTGCGGATGGATTTCCCGCCGCTTTGCCCCAGGGCGAAGTGCATCTCGGGAGGAGCCAAGACGACAGTGTGTATATTACTGCATGTGGGAGAGATGGGAATGCCGCAAGGTAGCATCGAGTTTCCCATCCATCCGTCCTCTATTCGCAACCTGGAACCCCCAAGGGCTGGTCCTGGGGAACGCAACCGCAGCGCAGGTTGGAGATGCGTCTGTTACCTACATGCATATACACGTACGTCCATGAGGTTGGCGGACGGACAGACAGGCAGCGAGGTAGGATGACATTCTGCAGAACGGTAGAGGGTGATGCTGCATATGTATGTCCATACATATTGCCTACTACATTGGCATGCAATACTGCAGGCGGTGCTTAGGCGAGGTCGCGACCGTCTACAGAGGGCATGGGGGGCCTGTTCTATTCTTGTCGTTAATATGCTCATCCTCAATTTCCGACATTTGGCATTGGAGTTATTTGTGACGATGATGCATCCCGTCTGTTCATACATGATGGTTCCATGATACGCTTTGTGTTGTATCAAGATGGTTGAGGAACACGTGTAACGCCGTGAGGCCTGGTCCCCCGACTTCCTTGTACAAGCCTCCTGCACCCGATGAAGGTTCCTCCCTTGTTCCCTCGCTCGCTTTCGTCTCATCTTTCTGTCTCCGGCATAATCAGCGCGTGCAATGCCGCCATGGGAGCACCATGATGTTGCGGTTGCATGCTTGATGCCGGCATCACCAGCAGTTAAGGTCCACGTAGCCCTTGGTTCCTTTTTTTTGTGGTATTTGCCTCACTGTGCGATGGGCCAGCAGGCCCTACAGGTTCTGGCACAGGGGATGCTTCACAATGGGCATCGGTCCGTATTGGCGGATGCGGGGGAGCGGGGAACCGACTGCAAAGGATAGAGCATTGTAAAAAATGATGATAATTATGGACTTGCTCTGACTCAACAATTAGGTCAAGGGGATTAGTGGCCTCGTACAGTGAGGCGGAAGTTCAAGAAGCCCTGTCTCGTTGTGTCCACGACAGTGGCAAGGGTAAGGCATTCATGACCCATATGCGGTCTGCTGAAAAGAAAGGAAAAAAAGGTCTAGAGCTGGCGAAATTTAGACCGTCTCTTTCTCACACCTTCGCGATGTGATGTGGACAGTATGGGTAGTACGGTGGGCTTGTTCCGTCCTGCGGCCCCCTGTACCTCTCTGGTGTTTCGCTTAGTTCTGCTTTCCCTTGTGCTGGATATGTGGGCGTATACATATGCGCTCACTCACTATCCGCCCAATGATCGGTGAGGCAAAAAAAGGCCAGGGAGAGAATAGAACGAGAGGACGAGAGCGTGAGGCAAGCCCCGGTGGGACCGGCTATCCATGGAGTCTGGCCTGAGGGGGTACGAGAACCCGGAGCACAGTAAAGAAATCATTCACATACGTCTGGAAAAAACTAGAGGGTGTATGAATAAAGGAGCGGAGAGAAGTCAATCAAGCCAAGCCAAGGTCAGGCTGGTGGTTCCTCTTCTGCTTCCCCTTGTTTGGTTGCAAGCAGTCTGTGGTCAGCAGACCGGATCTAGCCAGCCACGGTTTGTCTTGAGTGAGTAGGTGAAGCACGGATGGATGTCGGCACTGGGGTTAGATAGGTAGGTAACATTCTCAGCGATGGATTGGATCTTGATAGCGCCGAGTTTCTGCCTGAGCAGACCTTTGGAGGCACATGATCTGAGCGACCGACGAGGTTCTTCTTTTGGAAGGCCGAGGCCTCCATGGTCGGTAGGTTCTGAGGACCCTGGCCTACCTAGGTAGGAAGGCATCTTGCTTGGAGTCTCTGACGAAGGGAGCTGAACTCCATGGATAGGCGTTGGAGATGCTAGAATAAATCGGCCATGACGCAACTATCGTAAGCTTGGACCTGGACGCCGCTTGGCTTGCTTTGCCCCCGGGAGCTAGGCACGGAAGGCTCCAAGCCATCATTCGATTTCTGGTGCACTAACTAGCCGGTTGACGCTGGGTAGGCTTCAGCCCAGGATCCGTCGCTACCCAAGATACCCAGCTGGTGGCACCAAAGCCAAGCTTAAGATGAAGGCGGCAAAAAAAAACTGGTGATCAGCATAGAGAGTTAGCTCATTGCTTATTTTGCTGCTCGTCGGCGTTGTGGCTGGTAATTAGGCGCCGTGCTTGAAAATGGGGCTTCTGCTGAGGCAAGCGCCTACCACGTTCTAAGTTTGGGGCTGTCAGCTCGCATTGTGTGAGCACAGGCACTGAAGCTTGCTGTGTTAGTACTTGTCCCTCACTATCTCTCAGCGCGGTAGCTCCTGCCCCAGCTCCGTTCGAGGTGGGTTCCTGCCCTGCCTCTTCCTTTCATAGGGATGCTCTTTCCTTCTTTCCAACGATTTCGGCACCAACCGGGTTGGACTTCATTTGCGGCATCTCGATATCCGCGAACTGAAAGCCACATCAAATTTTGCACGTCATGGAGAAAAACCTGCTGCACGCTTTGCTTGGCCAGCGGCTCCAGGCAGTGACTGGGACATGGGGCTTGTGCATAGCCTGTTTGGGGATTGCCAAATGAGTCGCCCTCGCCCAATCAGCGCGTGCCCGCTTGCTCGGCGCGTCTGCTCTGAGACGAACCAACCGCAATTAGAACCCAATCGGAGCCCCAGAGACCTCTAGGCCGCCGCTTGGCCTATCGTTTGCCATCGCTCGGCGTCTAACGCAACTTCAGATGCCGGTGAATTTGGCCATGGCTGTCTTCTTGTGGCCCGTGGACTGGCCATGCTGAGACGCCCAGGCCAGATGCCAGTGCCGTGGGGACTGAATATGTGGATGTCATTGTCGGCCGCAGAATGCCGTGACAATAAGCCGGCGCCAGTCGTCTGTTCAGCCTGTGCCTGCGTCAGGGTCCTATTGTACCTATTCAAGCGCTTCGCCTTCTCCTTTGTCCTCGCTTTCCCATTCTCTCTCCTCTCACTTCACTTCGCTTCACTTCTTCCTCAGTGCTAGACACCGTTTCAGACCCAGGCATTCTGGAATGTCTGCGTCTTTGTGTTAATCTTTTTCACACGTCTCTTTATCATATTGCAAAACTTCTAAAAACAAAACGGTTAGTACTCTCAACAAGAACAAGCCGGGGACTTTCTTGGAAAAACCTCTCTTTCTTGTGCCTAGTGGTACACACAAATTCATTTTACCAATCGCCTGGAGCGATTCCCAACATATCATTTTCTTTCATAAACCATCCATATTACGCTCGTTCATCTTCTCACGCACCGAATAAGCCATCAGATCTACAACACACACCCGCATCCCGCTGCCAAAGTTATATATACCGAATCTTGACCTCCGGAAGCAATATCGAGTGCATCATATTGGACAGCATGGTTAAACTGCCAATGCTGCCAGCACTACCGTTGCGTGTGCTCATTCTCTCGGCACTGAGCGCTTCCCTGGTTTCAGCCTTTCCAGCCAACTTGCTCTTCGCTCGCCAGAGCACTTGTCCTACAAATGCATCCCGATGCGAAAACAGTTCCTTCTGCTGTTCAAATGGGAACACCTGCATCTCGCTTGCTGGAAACACTACAGTCCTCTGCTGCCCTTCCACCTCCAACTGTAGCAAAATCCAAACCATCACCTGCAACGTCGATTCGCTCAATGCTGAGGACAACCCGGACGCCCCAGTGAAAACCACTGTATTTGACGTAGCATTGCCAAAATGTGGCGATATGTGCTGCCCCTTTGGTTACTCTTGCTCAGCAGAGGGAAGCGAATGTGTGAAGGACCAAGATCAATCACAGCCTCCTAAAGGGCATTCAACTACGACTTCTGCCTCAACCGCCACCAAGACATCAACAACGAGACCAACTAGCGTGCCGACAACTCAGCCCTCTACAACAGGCGCCTCTACAATAGGTGCCTCTACAACAGGTTCCTCTACAACAGGTGCCTCAGCAACAAGCACTCAAGTGCCTACAGCGTCTGCCACAAATGACGAGGCTGCGGGTGGACAGGACAAGAAGTCTGGGCTAAATGTAGGGGGATTAGTAGGGGGACTTGTTGCTGGGGCTGCCGTTTTTCTTGTTGCCGTCCTTATCGTTTGGCTTTGTATTCGCCGAAGGGCAAAGAATCGTTCAGCCAGCAGCGAGAAGCCACGGTCGGACCGCTCAGGGTTCTCTGGTATCATCTCCGAACCCATTGTCCAACAAAACTCTTTTCGCACCGATTTCCTCCGCGGCCAACCTTCGACACCGCCACGCATAGATCGTCAATCCATTCCGTGTATATCTGAGGATCGAATCACTCGCAGATCCATCCGAAATCCTTTCAACTCCCCCAATCCTTCGGATGCGGGGACAAACTCCAGGATCCCCTCTTTCTGCGAGGATAGCCCTCCTCGGCAGGGGCAGGTGGGTGCACGCCTTGCGCCCATCCGTACAATGAAGGCATCCAGCCAGTACCTCAAGCCTCAGCGAACCTCCATTCACCGGCAGCCAAGTGGTGAATGCATCAATGTGTTCGCGGATTCAAACGCGGTTGATGACCAGTTTAATCGACAGACCACATTCACAGAACTCATGGACAGGGCGGACCTGAAAGGCGTTGGCCGCGACAAACCCTATGTCCCCGGGACAACACCGAGAATATAGGGCGAGCTGCCGACAACCTGGATCTCCGTTTATAGTCGAGTGATCCTCAGCGCTGGTCGTGGAGGCGCATCTTACAATCTACTGACGTTCTGTTATTGTTTAAAAATCTCATTTGTCAACACACTATATATATACCCATTCCTCTTATGTTAATACATCATACCCGGGGGCATTATCGGAATGGAGGTCAGCGTGCCCTTACTTTTATTATTATTAGATTTTCCCTTTGTTCTTCTCGTTTTAGTTAATGGAACCAAATATGAATTCATGTCCACTATCTGTCGATATCTTCTCATTTCAAATCATCATATGGGCCAGTCCCTCCCGTGAAATATAATATGCGTGAGCCATTGTGTGAACGAATGTGACTTGTCCCGTCAGAGCCCGAGGTATCAAATGTTGGTCATGTATCGATGGCCTGCCAATAGATTGAGGGAAAAAGGTAGAACGAATGGGGGAAGACAACTCGAGTGAAGCAAATGGCTTCCTAGGAGCAGAAAAAGAGACATGCCGAGTAAAAAATATAATGAAAAATGTTTCTTAGGTATCCAAAAATTGCCGCCCGTCATAATATGCTCATGGGCTAGATGAAGATGATGAATTTCCCGCGGAGTAATAGAAAAAGACATCAGGCGGGAACGGAAAAACGTTAGAAAGAAGGTACGAGACCACCACCCAATTTGCTAAAACTCCTTCGTAAAACGAGCGCTGAACATGATTCTTTTGGAAGACCCAGTCTTGAAAACCATAACCAAGGGAAAAAACAAATACAAAACAAAATAACATAAACGTCAAGGATTAACAGAATATTTGACCAGTCCGTATTAGGTCCAATACCTCCTACCCTTGTCATTTCCTACATCACTGTACATCTCCTGTCCTTGAACCCAGAAGCGGTGGTCACGTCAGTCCACCCGGCATTGCTGACAGCATCGTGGTCCTTCTTCTTCTTCTTGGGCTTTGTTGGAGCCTTGGGCTTCCACCCCTTCATTTTGGCATCCCTAATGTTCTTGGCTGCGCTGCGTTCTGCGCGGCTCGACTGTCGGCTGACACCCACTGGAACTTGGCCGGGAGATATTGAACGTGATCGCCCCCACCCAGTCCAAGGTCGTAAAGTCGACTGTTGTCGTTGAGCTGGTGGTGGTGGAGCATGGTAAGAAGCCCGAGGAGCGACGCTGGACTCCAGCCGTTGCACAGGGGCCTGTGAGTTCGAACCACCCTGACGCGGTCGTGGACGAACGGGAACGGGAGCTGCAATGGTCGTTTCCGCCCATCTGCTAGGCGCCCCTGATTCGGGGAGGTCAAACCCTCCCGAGACACCCTTGGGAGTGCTAACTATAAGAGGCTGATCCATTGCGTTGTTCCAGGACGTCGAGGGCCTCTGTTGATCCAGGTATGGGGAGAAGACGGGCCGGTTAGGGTTATAGAGATCATGGAAACCAACGCTGACTGGACGTTGGTAATGACCATGCCCCGTATTCGGATCGACATATCCGAGCTGGTTCGTAGCCAAAGTCGGTGGTGAGTTGGGCAAGAAGCCGGCATTTGCCATTCTTGGGACAGGTGCTACCAGCGGAGCAGTAGCGGCATTGTGAACAGGATTTTGGCTTGACCCGATACCGAGACCTGTTGACCACGCCTGGGAACTTGGCAATGGCATTCCGTGTCCCATGTCGGCTCTTTCCTGGTCCCCTGCAGGAGCGATTACGATGGGGATGTTTGAGTTCTGGACAGGTGAAGATGGCGAATCTACTGGAGAGCTCATCGTGCTTACCGAAGCTTGTCTCTCTAGATTGGCCCCGATAGTATTGGAATATTGAGCGGGAATGCCAGGTGAGGCTGGTGGAGTGGCATCATAAATGTCATCTGGATCTGGCGCTGGAGTGGATCTCGGACGGGGCGGATGATCGATTCGAGGCCGACTGAGAGTGGTTGAGTCACTAGCTGTTCTATGATGTGAGGGTCGTCGCTGGATATTGGCATAGGATTCGACTGTGTTCGATGGTAAAGGTGGCATAGGTGGGACAGCAGGGCCTCGCAAGAAGGCCGGAAGGTCGCCAGGGTCCTCCTTTTGATATGGTGGTGGTGGAGGTACCCAATTATCGGCGTCACTTTCATGGGGATGCTCTCGGCGCCCGTCGGCACGGCGATACGAGATCGGACGTCCATCTGCGGTACGAGGATTCATCGTTCTGTTGACTGCTGCGGCGGTGGCAGCACGTCGGAGAGTGGTGGCAGTTCGCGGGCTTGAGTGTGCGTAGGGAGCATCCAACGCTTCTTGTTCTTCGATGGTGGCCACGTCGGGATCCTCAGGGGCGTCATTGCGAGGAGAAGATTGTATAGCGGGATTGTGACCGATTCTCCTGGGCCTCAAGGGGTCATCATCATCTGTAGGCTCGCTCTGAGGCAATGGTGGCGGCGCCTCGGAGCTCCGATACGACGTTGTGGCGGCGCGAAGTAGAGCTGAACGGCTCCCGCGCTTCTGAACGAGGGTTCTCCTTCGCACAATTGCAACTTCGGTCTCTATATCGCGGTGCTCCTCTTCCAAAACCTCTGCTTTGTCGGTCCCCACTTCTAGAATGATTTCCTCTTCAGTTCCATCTTCAAGGCCGTAGTCGAAGTCAATCAACTTGATCCTACCGCCGTCGACAAAATCCAGATCCTCTTCCTCAGTGACCAGTCGGGGACCTAAAACTCCAGTGGCTGTAACAATCAGACGTTCCTTCAGAGAGTGACCGCCATATTCTGCAATCCACTTCACAGAGCTTACACCAAGGACATTGTCAACCTTGACGCCTGATCTGAAAGTATTTCTCTGCCGGTCGCGCATGAGTTTCCACTGGGGAGCCGAGTCACCAACAACAGGATCCTGTTCTCTCGATGTAGAAGCGTGAGAAATGTTACCGCGCGTGAGGTCCAGCGTAGAAACCTCTTCCTCTGTCAATGCATCCAGTCGCTCTGGTACTCCATATACCCAAATCTCCCCATGGTGAAAGCTGGCCGAAGCAATCTCGCCGTAATATGTAGCCCCTGACAAGGTGCTCGGCAATAGCTTTCCCTGAGTTCCTACCTTGGGCTCAGGACCAACGAAGTAAGTTGTGCCGTTGCGCAAATCATTGATGCGAACGGCTCGGAAAGTTTCAAAACTCCTGTCATATGCGAATGTCCATCTGGCCTCGTCTTCGCCACCGTCCTGGATGAGAACCGAATGGGTGCAGTCGCGACTCGAGTTTGGAAATAAAATCGAGGTTGTCCACAAGGCGCTGGTATCGTTTTCAGGCAGGAGGCTGCCCGGATCGTAATAGGGGGCCGTGAGGATGACGGTACTGGGAGTAGCCGAGTTGACAGTTGTGCCGAGAATCTGGGTGCCATCGTAGGAAAATGCAAGCGCATCTACTGCATCGCATTTGACAGAGCGCCTATCAGAGGGACCGGCGTTGGCACTCAGGGATGTCACCTCGATTCCACCCTCGTAAGCAGCGGCCAACACAGAGCCGCAGGGTGACAATGCTATCGTCCGGGGCGTGTTGTCGAGAATGATCGATTGCTTTCGCCGCGGCGGAGTATGATTTAGGTCGTACAGATCGACCTGCATTTCCATCGAAAGAATGGCGAGGAGGCTTCCGTCATCCAGAATGCATGTCGCGACGGGACGGCGCAACGTCTTGAACTCGCGTTTGATCTCAATCTTGGGCGCTCGCACATCGATGACGTAGATTCGCGATGAGTTGTATGCGAGAACAAGCTGCGACTTTGGCGAAGTGCTGAACTGCATGCCCTCTCCACCGGGACATGATGCGGAGCTGATGGAATTGGAGATGAGCTTGATGGTGGTTTGATGGGGTCTAAGGTAGGCGTCAAAAAGGTTGCGCTTGATCTGCTGTGCAAAGAGTCGTCGCAAGCGCGGGAGGTCGCTGTCGTTTCCAGGAGGAAGCTTCGTTCGGCTGATAGCAAAGGATGGACATTGTCGCAAATGATGTATATACAGGTGAGGTCGCTGGGAGACGGCCCGCCACTTTCGGTTAAGAAGAATCAAGGAGGCGAAACCATTCGAGTCAGTGTCGAGCAGGATCCTGTAAGTTGAGGGGAAAGCGTCAGTTTCCATCAAGTCAGGGAATAGGGGAGCGTAGTTGTACTCACTGTTCAATGATCTCGTCGGGAAGCTCGTCGAAAGGGGCGGCCTGAATTGGCGGCTTTTCCATGTCCGACGACATGGCGTCCGTCGTGTATGAGCCTGAGGAGAGAACAAAGAGGGGCGAGAAAGATCTCAGCGAAACAGAAGTTGATAGCCTATGTATTCATGGTCATATAGTTGTTGGTTGTTGGTTGGCAAGGTAGTATTTGCTCGGGATGGGGAAGCTGGCGGTTGGGCGAGTCAGCGAGCGAATGGGAGCCAGGCAAGATGAATATGTTGGTCGCCGGGCGTCTAGAAGTGGCAAGACGAAGTGGACGGATGCTTTGGCTCGATTAGCACGGCATGGAGATGATTGGCGTCGTCGTCGGAATGGTTGCTGCGCTCGATACTGCTGCCGTTGGGTCGTCGAACACGATCAAAAGCAGGACGGCAAGAAACTTGGCTGAAGACGAGAGGGAGGGACCGATTCAGCCAGCACCATTGGCAGGCATTTCCAAATCCGACTTGGGTTAGCCACCCTGGGCGAAATGATTATGGCCCCCAGTGGTTGGCTGTTGGGGAATTGTTCGATCGTGTCTCTGGTTGGTGGAACGCGTGTTGCTGCCGGCCAAGACAGGCAGGGTGGAGCCGTCGGGACATGGGTACATGCAGGATAGGCAGGTACTTTGCTTACAGTGGTGAGTGCGTGCGGTGGGAAGTAGATCTCAATCTCAGACCCAGGTATCGCCATCGGTGCATGTTAATTGATCCTATAAATGGCTGGCCCTGTGGTTGGCTGCAGGTGGCATCAAGTGGGCCCAGTGGTCTTTGGTCTGCCGAGGCCAGGCAAGGGAGTAGTAAATATCTTCACTCTGCTGGGAGGCAATGGCCGGCTTAGAGCTGCCAGCTGCTCTATTCTATAAGGCCTTCAGCTGCGATCCCATCGCATTGAATGGACGGTTGGGGCCGTCCGCCGTGCTTGTCGTAACGGTGGGATCCGCGGGCGACATCTGGCCATATCTCACCTCACAGCCGGCATTGCCAAAGTCCCATGCCCAAAAGTCCTCTGATATTAGTATTCCACTGCCCACTCAGGTAAGCGCTGGCGGCCACGACCCCACGGCACATAATCCCGTATGTGGGTGCACCTGTTTTGATATTGCGGTCCTACCGACGCAAGCTGGTTACGTGTTGAGATGAGCACGGAGCACCAGGTTGTGCGTCAGGCCTGGCACCAGCCCCTGCTTCTGGCCTAAGACTGGCCAGACTTGGTCCTGCCCCGATCGGGGGAAGGGCCAGAGCCTATCCGGACGTGCCAGCCAACGTCTCCTTCAACCACTGCCTTGGCCTATATCACTTGCATTTATTTTGAGACAGTGCAATCGGATCGGTAATTGAGCGTGCTCCCGACGAATCCTTTTGTCTGGTCAGGTCGACCCCGGTAGTTGTGGATTTCTTGATCCGGATGCCACGGCTAGACTGAGTACTCCCATATCACAAGCCTTCTATGATTCAGTTCATCAGAGACAGTTCACCAGTCCGACCTCATTATTATCCCATCCCGCCCGGCTGATCACTGCATACTACCTAGGTAGCTTATCCACGCCCGATTGTGTTCGGTTTATCCCTCCACTACCGAGATCGTGGCCCACGATTCTTCACACTGCCCTTACCCACTTCCCTCCGGACCCTGCACGCATTGACAATTTGACACAGCTATTTTCCCCTTATGGAAGTTCATCGACAAGGAACAATGCTTGATGCAGGATTCGACACGAATCAGACCCCAAAGCAAAGGAAGTAGAGGAGCAAAAAAAAAGGGGGTCCCCGGTGGTAGATGCCATGATGAGAGATCCAACGTAGATAGCTCTCCTACATAGCAGATCCAGGTGAATATACACAGTTTCCCTACGAGGCAGACAATCAAACCCCCTTGCCTCGCTCCTCTGACCGACTTCCTCCCTCCATGGGATGTCGTCACAATGTGTTACCTCCAAAACCGGGCCAGCCCCCGTCGTCCGTGAAGGTGGTGAAGCCGCCCCAAAGCCAGACATTGCTAATGATCCAGAGCACCAGCCCGCGGCAGCGGCCGTGACGCAGCCTAAATGGACTCGCTACCTCCCCTCCGTCCTCTTCCTCGCCGTCTTCCTCGCCCTGCTGTTCCTGCTCGTCTTCCTCCTCATTCCTTCCCCCATGGGCATCACGGGCAGCCAGCCGGCGCGCGAGGAGCCAGAGGACTCGGAAGCCAACAACCCTGTCGTCGATCTTGGCTACTCCAGATATGCCGGCACATATCTCAACAACGGCGTGAGCCAATATCTTGGCGTCCGGTATGCCCGCCCACCCACCGGCGATCTCAGATGGCGGGCCCCCGTCGAGCCGGAGCAGACCGAAGGCATCCAGAAAGCAAAAGAGGTGGGTTAGGAAAACAACAAAACCCCAAACACGAAGCTGAACACACTGCAGCCTCGGGCGGTACACATGAAAGTAGAATTAACTTGGATCGAAAAACACTGACACAATAATCTGAAACAGTTCGGCGCAGTTTGTCTCGGGCTACGTGACACAGCCGGCAACGAGGTTGATGAGGATTGCCTGACCGCATATATCTGGGGCCCATCCAATGTCACGACAGAGACAAAGTTGCCCGTCATGGTTTTTATACAAGGTGGCGGTGAGGGATACTCCAAAATCATATTCCAAGTAGTGCTCGCGGGCGTCTAAGCCATACTGATCTTGTCTCGTCATACTAGGCTATACACACAACGCCAACGCCAACTGGAACGGCTCGCAGCTGGTCGAGGCTTCAGGCCTCAACATCGTCTACGTATCTTTCAACTACCGCGTCGGCCTCTGGGGGTTCCTCGCCGGAGAAGAAGTGCGCAACGACGGCAACCTCAACGCCGGTCTTCTCGATCAGCGCTTCCTTCTTCAATGGGTGCAAAAGCACATCGCTTCTGTACGTCTACTCTTTGCTCAGCCATCCTCTCACTTCCCTAACAAAAGACATCTTAGTTTGGAGGCGACCCTGACCATGTTGTCATCCAAGGCTTGTCAGCCGGCGCCGGCTCTGTCGCCCTCCACATGGCCGCTTACGGCGGCCGGGACGACAAGCTCTACGCAGGGTCCATCTTACAGTCGACCTTTCTGCCCGCTCACCCTCCGGTCAGCGAACTCGAGTGGCAGTTCAACCACACGGTCGAGCAGGCAGGCTGCCAGGATGCCGCCGACCGGATGAAGTGTCTGAGGTCCATGAGCAGAGACGACCTCCAGAAGCTCAACGACGCCAGCCCGTTTCCCGGAAGAGCTTCCAACCCTTTTTACTATTGGACGCCATGTCTCGATGGCGAGCTGCTGCAGGACCACGTCACTGAGATGTTCGCCCAGGGGAAATTCCACAAGGTCCCTGCATTGCTTGGCACAGTCACAAACGGTGAGAGTCATTCGTCCCGCACTTTGCTTCCGCCCGCCAAACTGATAACTGACATGTGAGTCTCTATTTGTAGAGGGATCCACCTTTGTCCCCGACGTTTCTTCTGCCGACCAGCTGGTCAGCTCTCTCGTCGATAACTTCCCCAAGCTCAACTCCTCACACACCGATGAACTCATCACCCTGTATCCCCAGGAAGATCCCCTCCCCCAGCATGAATCCTACTTCCCTTCGCTCTCCCGCGCGTACGGAGAAGGGACGTTCATATGCCCAACCCGTACTATTCTCAGTGCCCTCTGTGATTCTGGGGATGTCGCAACCTGGTCCTACCGTTACAACGTCGAGGATAACGAAACAGTTGCAGAGGGCTTCGGTGTACCCCACGTCTCTGAGGCCCCGGCTGTTTGGGCACCGGAAATGCTCCCTTCTCGCCCAAAGGAGAGCTACTTCACCTACAATGCTGGCTCTGTCTCACTTGTGATGCATTATTGGTTGAGTTTCGTCCGGTTCCTTGACCCCAACGCCCAACGGATGGATGGAGCCCCGGTCTGGCATCCTTGGTCGGGCAATCAGAGCAGGCTCGTTTTGCAGCTCCCAGACCCCGTGATGGAAAATGTCACTCAACTAGGGAGAGCCAGGTGTGACTTTTGGCAAAGTATCGGCCCTGCCATTAACCAACGATAGAGTGTTTGGACTTGAATTAAATATAGAATTACTACTTAATCACCATTAATTTAACATCCGCATGGTGGCGTACGCTGCGGGCCGTTCGATTGAGTGTGCCATCCGTGAGTGTACTCCAGCTTTCTTCAAATAGTCATTAGGATGTAGAATCAATGAAGAATCACGGCTGTCCCGTAATAAAGATGGTGATTAAGCCGTTAATTAAAGCTACTCGCTGCCAGCCAAATTGCTTTCCAGCAGCTGCTCAACGGCTGGTGGCCCAGAATGACCTTCAATAAGACAATATAAGACCTTACATCCCATGTCATTTATGAATCCAACTTCTTCTTCTTCACGCAAGAACGCACAACTCGTTTTGCACCTCTTGCCCATTTGCGGACACGGATGCCCACTCGCCCTGATCTCTTCGAGGCAATTTCGTTTGGCGGGTTCAGCATTTGGTGATCGATGGTCATACCCTGAGCGTACCCGGACATTTCTTGTAATGATGAAAATGGGAGAGGGGTTGGAGCTCTCTTGCACTTTTTCGATGGCGCGCTGCCGAGCCGTAGGTGAAAAAGCGATATTTTCTGCCGAAGGCCGTGCTCGCGAGGTTTAATCTCATGAGGAGACATGCTTCGAGTCTCTCCAGGCTGAATCTCATTAACGGGGGAGATGAGCGAGGGGGTTTTCAATTCGAGACTTTTGGCGATTTCAAGACAATTTATACCCAGATCACCAGCGTCCCAGAGGGGCGAAGCCAACGCGTCATCATTATCAACTTGGGTTGACAAAGCTGGTCTGGCTCCTTCCAGCTTATGCATTGCCGACTGGTCCATCATGTAATTCGGCTTGGTAAACATGTCTCTTCGTGAAGAGTACTCAAGATCTGCAAGAGAATTGCACTGCTTCAATGCTGGGCTTCTGACAACCGTTCCCTGACAACCTCCAAGGCCTTTCCCCAGCTGAGTTCGAGATATTTTGATTTTGAGCCTCTTCCTCCCTGG